GGTGAGTGAGTGAGGGAGTGAAAGGGGAGTGCGTGGATGTGTGGGGCGTGTGAGTGAGTGAGGGACAGTCAGGACTATTGAGGGCTGATGGACCAGGCGCCCCTGGCCAGGCAGCCCCTACCACCGCTGATATCTCTCCTGGAGCGGCCAGCTCTGCCACAGAGACTGTGCCATCTTGAAGGGAAGAGTGGCTGTGAATGGGAGCCCAGCCTCACCTACAACCAGGGAGACCTCGAACACCACCCAGGACACTACAGCCACACAGGCCAGGGACCAGCTGCCTCGGCTGTGAACCCACAAACACCGCAACTCCAGCCTCCCCGGCCACAGGCTCCTAAAAAGGTTGTCCAGGGGGAGACAAGGTGGCTGCTGAATAGGTGGATGGGTCCTGCGCCTTCTCATGGAGCAGACAGAAGAAACAGCTGAGTCGAATAACATCCACCTGGAACTGGAGAATTAAACACAGCTGGTGAGACAATCTGTGGATGGAAAGATCAGAGGTTGCCTGAGGTGGGCTCGGGGATCTGGGCTGGAGGGAGAAAAGTGCACAGCCGGGACTAGAGTCTCAGAGGGAGCCTGCACTGCACCAAATCCGCGGCCCTTGGGGTCAGTATAGTGCTCGACTGTGGACGGGGTCCCACAGGGCTGTTGGCAGCGGGGACTCTAGATCTAAGCCCACAGCCATGGGAGGCTGGGCCCAGAAAGGCAGCCTGAAGTTCTGCACCGGCCGCGCAGTGCCGGGAGGAGAAAGACGCGCAGCCACGTGGTCACTCTGTCTTTATATTTTCCTTGCTTTTCCTCGCTAAACCCAGTACACAGGGTCCTTCGATTACAAACACTCACTGAGGCTGCAATGCAGGGGATGGTGGTTTTGTGGAAGCTGGGGAGCAAATAGGGAGAGATGATCAGGAAGCCAGCTCTGGGACAGTCCATCCCTCCAACCCTGAACGGCCATTTTTCTCCTTTAGACCAGACCCCTCCTAGCAGTGCTGCTGCACCCAGCCTTGAGCTCGGCAGGGGAAAAAAAATTCTAAATACCCCCAGAGAGCCCTTGGGGACTGGGCTGAGGTGCCATTTGGTCCAGGAAACTAATACAGAAACACCACCACCTAGAGGCCGTTTCAGAAATAGACGCTTGTGTAAATACAACTGAAAGCAGGCAGACAAAGATGGGAGATTGGTCCTGCCTGGCTGACACCAAGGCTGTGGAGACAGACACAGAGGAACGGTGGTCGCTGGGGACTTCAACACAGTGCTGACTACCTAACAGGAAATTGAGACATGGCAGACAGAACAGTAGAGAGGGGTCTAAAACCAGTCCCCATAGGACATTAAAACTCAGCTGAAGTGAATGAAAAACCAATCCCCATAGGACATTAAAACTCAGCTGAAGTGAACGAACTTCACTACTTCTACTTTTTATTTGTTATCCTTTTATTTTATTTTTTCTTTATTTTATTTTGGGATTAGTGTCCTACATTCTATTTTTATTTTTCCTTTAGCATTATTTTACTCTATCTCAATTTTTCCTTTATGCCAACACTCTCTTCCTCACTTTCTCTTTTTGTCCTGTTTCTCATACCTTGTTCCTGCTTTAGTTTTTCTCTATCATTTCATTTTACTCCCTGTTAAAAATTGATCTTACTCATATATCTATTTTCGGCTCCCCTGCTCCAAGTCCATACACACTTCTCTGTTCTCTTTCTTCATTATCCAAATTTTCTTCTTCCTTTTTCTTTCTGTCTTGTTGTTATTTGTTTGGTTATTGATTAGTTTGGTTTCTTTGTTTGTTTGTGTGTTTTTTCTTTTTTCTTTTTTTAGCATCTGTTTTTCCTTTCCTCGCTTGTTCTCTTCTTCTACTAATAGCTTAACTAATTCCAATCACTAACTTAGGCCTATCTACTCTCTATTCTCCTTTTCAAATAGTAACTGAATACAAAGATAGATAGATTAAACAAGGGGGAAAATTTTATATATATATATAAATTTTCTTTTATATATATTTTAAAATATATTTAATTATTATTATTAAGTATTATTTTTATTTTATTTTTATTTATTTTAACTTATTTTATTTTTATTGAGTATTTTGTTTTTTACTTTTCCTCTCATACACTCATTCTCTTTCTAACTCCTCTATACTAAATCATGGCCATTCCCCCATTCACCTTTCCCTTTTCTTCTGGAAATAAGCTCTGCCTCTTCAGATTCGGCTCCCCTCCTTTTTTTCTGGGTGATTGTTGTTTGCATTTTTTGGATTAGTTGTTTGTTTTGTGGAGTTTTCTCCCCATATACGTATATTTTTTCCCTTGTTTTTTCTTCTTTTTTTTCCCTCTCTTCCCTTTTATTCTTTCCTCAATATTATTTTTGCACTCTTTTCCCTCCCCTAATTCTCTTTTCTCCAGTGGTCTTCTTTATTTGGGATTATTGGAGTCATGAACACATTAGTGTTTTGTTCTCTCCTTGATGTGTCTTGTTGAGTTGTGTTTTGTGCCTTTTGGTCAATGTGGTAGAGAGTGAGCAACATAATAAGACACTCTGAGAGGAGTGAAAATGGGTAGATAAAGAAACAGCCCCCATGAGAAAGAAGAGGGGGAATCACTGAAAATGAAGTAAATTAAATGGAGGCAAGCAATTTGTCAGAGAAAGAATTCAGAGCAAAGGTCATAAGATGCTGAAAAGGATGAAAGACAAATTTAACAACATGTGTAAGAATCAAGAGGATATGAAGAACCAAGAAGAAATGAAGAATGGCATAGCTGCAATAAAGAACACAATAGAAAGCATCAACAGTAGACAAGAAGAAGCTGAGGACCACATCAGTGAGCTAGAAGACAAATTAGGAAAAAACAGCCAAGAAGAGCAGCAACTGGAAAAAATAAACAAACAAACAAACAACAACAAAAAAACACTAAAAATCAGGAGGAGAGCCTAAGGGAGCTTTGGGACAACGTGAAACAAACAACATCCACGTAATAGGGGTGCCAGAAGGAGAGGAAACTTAGCAAAGGAAAGAAAACATGTTTAAAGAAATAATGACAGAAAACTTCCCTGATATTGGGAAGAAAAGACTCACACAAGTCCAAGAAGCTCACAGAGTCCCAAATAAAATGAACCAAAAAAGACTGACACGTCAGCCTGCGGACTGAAGGGTGCCAGGTTCGATTCAGGCCAAGGGCACATGCCTGGGTTGCGGGCTTGATCCCCAGTAGGGGGCGTGCAGGAGGCAGCCAATCAATGATTCTCTTTCATCATTGATGTTTCTATCTCTCTCTTCTTCTCTAAAATCAATAAAATATATATTTTTTTGAAAAAAGTAAAAGTAAATGTTGGGATGAAGTTATTCAAATATTTTATTTTTTAGGACAAAGGTCTCCAAACATATTTTGCTTACATTCCTAATAAAATAATTTTGCAAAATTATGTTTCCTCCTCATAGTTTTTAATTCTAAGTTTCAATATTTGCAAAGGGTGTAATCACTGGCATATTATATATTATTTTAAGAAAATTATTATATGATTTTGATAATTGTAGCCAATGAAAAGTAAATGTCACAATAACTTGATACCTACCACAATTCACTTAAAAAACACATGTACAAGCTTATCTTTAACAGTTGGTACTTTTACACTGTCCTTTTTTTCCTTTTAAACTTGACTATGACAAGGTTCAACCTCAATTCAATTCCTATATTTAATCTGTATGGATTTAACCCTGATAAACCTTGTTAACCTGAATAGGTAGGAAAATGTTTTACTGTAGCAATGTCAGTCAAGCTTTGCACGTCTCCCAAGTTATATTCTACACGTAACAATGATGTATCATTAAAATATACTTATAAATTGAAAATTCAATTAGGTCTTACTTCATTTTTGCTGGGAAAAAAATTTACAGAATAATTTACTCCCAATAATTAGGACCATTCACTTTTTCATTCCAATACCAGCATTTTGAAAGACATTTAGGTTTTTATACATGAGGGCAATACACCAAGGTTAAGATTAGAGAAGGTGAGAGGTATTCTTTTGCAAAATTAAGAAGGGTTGTTGAGGAAGGGGAGTGGAAAAGGAGAACCAGGAGACAAGTTCTCATACAGATTCATTTTGGAAAAAGTATAATGAATGTTGATAATCTAGAAACTGATTACTTATCTACTCCTGTATAACCCTTGAAGAGCCTCATGTCCACAAATTGGAAGGCAGCTTTCTTAAAAGTCCTGATATTTATAACACTATTATAAAGCTAATAGTCCTAAAGACGCTGCTTCTAATTTGTAGCACTAAGTTGACCTAACCCCTTCCTATTTCAGTTTCTCTAAAGCATGTCTACTTACTTATTTCATAGGAATTTAAAAAGCTTTATTCAAAGGGCATAAAAGAGTAAATAAAATTTTTCTAGTTTCCTTCCTACTCAGGTCTTTTTAGAAAGGAACTACAAATATCGATCATTTATATTTTCAAATAATCCAATTATTCCTTTTTTCCTTTTTTAACATAAATGATAGCATATTATATATACTGCTCTTTACTTAGTCTATATACTTAATATAAGTATCCTGGATACTTATCTTGGATATCTTTTTATAGCAGCTTATATAATCTATCACATAGTATTCTGTTGTCATGTCATAGGTAGAAGCAATAAAGCAAAATGATTATGAGCATGGATTCTAAAAAGACTGGTTGGTTTAACACTTAACTTTCCTACTTACTGTGTGACAGCACTGATCAAGTTACTGAATCTCTACATGCTTCAGTTTCTTTGTATTTAAAATGGGGATTAATAATAGTAATTACTTACCTTTATGTTATAGATATGATGCTTAAATATGCTAATACTTGTAAAGAGCTTAGTATAGTGCCTGGCACATAATAAGCACTCATTCATATTGTAATCTAAATCTGATTAACGACCATGAGACATTTAGGTCCTTAATAAAGTCTATAAATATAAAAGATTCCTTTGGGAAAAAATATTCCTTTAGATATCACATGTAAACTTACCTTTGTTGTAATAATAATCTGTTTTCTTTTTCTTTTAAAGCTTTCTTTAGTTCTGCTGATCTTGAAGGCCTATGTAGGTATTTCCTTTTTCCTGTGCATTCATAAGTCCAATGTCCAAATTCCAAGCATTTCTGACATCTTACATGTTGCTTATTTGCTTCAGCTTGTCTCCGGGCTATGAGTCGATGCATGGGAATTGCTATCTTCTATTATTTTTTATTATTTTATTTTTTACTTATTTTAATCTATTTTTATTTTTTATTGAGTATTTTGTTTTTTACTTTTCCTCTCATACACTCACTCTATTTCTACTTCCTCTATACTGAATCATGGCCATGCCCACATTCATTCAATTCCTTTCCCTTACCTTATGGAAATAAGCTCTGCCTCTTCAGATTCAGCTCCCCTCCTTTTTTTTCTTGGTGATTGTTGTTTGCATTTTTTTGGATTAGTTGTTTGTTTTGTGGAGTTTTCTCCCCATATACGTATTTTTTCCCTTCTTTTTTTTTCTCTCTTCCCTTTTTTTCTTTTCTCAATATCATGTTGCGCTCTTTTTCCTCCCCTAATTCTCTTTTCTCCAGTGGTCTCCTTTATTTGGAATTATTGGAGTCATGAATACATTAGTGTTTTGTTCTCTCTGTGACATGTCTTGTTGAGTTGTGTTTTGTGCCTTTTGGTCAACGTGGTAGAGAGTGAGCAGCATAATAAGACACCCTGAGAGGAGTGAAAATGGGTAGACAAAAAACAGCCCCCATAAGGAAGAAAAGAGGGAATCACTGAAAAGGAAGTAAATGAAATGGAGGCAAGCAATTTTTCAGAGAAAGAATTCAGAGCAAAGGTCATAAAGATGAAGAAAAGGATGAAAGACAAATTCAACAACATGTGTAAGAATCAAGAGGATATAAAGAACCAAGAAGAAATGAAGGGTGAACATTTCATCCCAAAGCTACAGAATATATATTCTTCCGAAGTGTATATGGGACATTTTCAAAGATAGACCATATATTAGAACACAGGCTAAGTCTCTTCAAATTCAAGAGGATAGAAATCATAGCAAGTATTATTTTCAGATCACAAAGGCATAAAAATAAAAATCAACTACAATAAAAACAATGAAAAAAAATCAAGCACTTGGAGGCTAAATAGCATGCTATTAAACAATGATTGGTTTGCCAAAGAGATCAAAGAAGAAATAAAAACATCTTGGTAATGAACAACAATGAAAACACAATAATCCAAAATCTATGGGACATAGTAAGACAAGGTAGGAAAAAACAGCCAAGCAGAGCAGCAACTGGAAAAACAAAAACAAACAAACAACAACAACAACAAACTAAAAAGCAGGAGGAGAGCCTAAGGGAGCTTCGGGATAACAATGTGAAACAAAATGACATCCACGTAATAGGAATGCCAGAGGGAGAGGAAACTGAGCAAAGGAAAGAAAACTGGTTTAAAGAAATAATGACAGAAAACTACCTTGATATTGGGAAGAAAAGACTCACACAAGCCCAAGAAGCTCACAGAGTCCCAAATAAGATGAACCCAAAAATAATGACACCAAGACACATCAAAATTAAATTGGCAAACACCAACGACAAAGTAAGAATCTTAAAGGCTGCCAGAGAGACACAGAAAGTTACCTATAAGGGCTCTCCTATTAGACTATCAACTGATTTCTCAACAGAAACACATACGGCCAGAAGGGAATGGAATGAAATATACAAAGTCATGCAAAGCAAGGGACCGAATCCAAGAATACTATACCCAGCAAGGCTATTATTTAAAATTGAAGGTGAAATCAGGACCTTCACAGATAAAAAAAGACTAAGGGCGTTTATTACCACCAAACCAGCAATGCAATAAATACTAAAGGGACTGCTGTAAAAAGAAAAAATAGGAAGGGAAGAAGGAACACAGGCATAAAGAATAAAAATGGTGACAAAAAAAAAACACACCTATCAATAATAACATTAAATGTAAATGGATTAAATGCTCCAATCAAAAGATAGGGTAGCTGAATGGATAAGAAAACATGACCAATCTATCTTCTGTCTACAAAAGACCCACCTCAGAACAAAGGACTCGCACAGACTGATAGTGAATGGATGGAAAAAATTATTCAGACAAGTGGAAGTGAAAAAGAAAGCTGGGGTAGCAATACTTATATATGACAAATTAGACCTCAAAATGAAGGCCATAACAAGAGATAAGGAAGGCCATTACATAATACTAAAGGGAGCAATTCAACAAGAGGATATAACTCCAGTAAACATATATGCAACCAATACAGAAGCACCCAAATACATAAAAAAATCTTCTAGAAGATAACAAGGGAGAGATCGACAGCAATACGGTCATAGTAGGGGACTTTAATACCCCATTGACACCAGTGGATAAATCCTCTAAACAAAAAATCAGCAAAGAAACATCAGTCCTAAATTACTCACAAGATCAGATGGAATTGACATCTTCAGAACATTTCACCCCAAAGCTACAGAATATATATTCTTCTCAAATGCACATGGGATATTTTCAAAGATAGGCCATATATTAGTACACAGGCTAAGTCTCTTCAAATTCAATAAGATAGAAATCATAGCAAGCATCTTTTCAGATCACAAAGGCATAAAAATAAAAGTCAACTACAATAAAAACAATGAAAAAACCAAGCACTTGGAGGCTATATAGCATGCTATTAAACAATGGTTGGTTTACCAAAGAGATTAAAGAAGAAATAAAAAGCATCTTGGTAATGAACAACAATGAAAACACAACAATCCAAAATCTATGGGACACAGTAAAAGCAGTCTTGAGAGGCAAGTTCATAGCTCTACAGGCCTACCTCAAAAAATAAGAAAAAATGGTAATAAATTATCTAAACCTACAATTGAAAGAATTAGAAAGAGAGCAACAAGAAAAGCCCAAAGTAAGCAGAAGGGAGAGAAAAATAAAGATCAGAGTAAAAATAAATGACATAGTGATCAAAAAACAAACAAACAAACAAAAACAGTACAAAAGATTAATAAAACCAAGAGCTGCTTCTTTGAAAGGATAAACTAGACTGATTTCTCTGAAATCAATAAAAATATATTTAAAAAAACTTAAAAAACAACTCTTAGACTTAATAAATGAATTCAGCAATGTGAACCTCTAGCCAGGCTCATCAAGAAGCAAAGAGAGTGAACCCAAATAAACAAATTCAGAAATAAAAGAGGTGATGTAACAACTGTCCCCACAGAAATACAAAGAATTATGAAAAAATATTATAAACAACTAAATTAACACCCAGAAATCTATGGCTTTTTTATACAACAGTAATGAACTCACAGAAAGAGAATCTAAAAAAATAATGCCATTTACCATTGAACCGGAAAAAAAGAAAATAAATCATTAATAAACTTAACTAAGAAGGTAAAAAACCTGTACTCAGAAAACTACAGGACTTTGAAAAAAGATATAGAGGAAAAAATAAACAAATGGAAGTACATATCGTGTTCATGGATTGGTAGAATCAACATCATTATAATGTCCATACTACCCAAAGCAATTTATAGATTTAATGCAATCTCCATTAAAATACCATAAAATAACAACGGCATATTTCAAAGATATAGAACAAACTCTCCAAAAATTCATCTGGAATAATAAAAAGACCCCAAATAGCCACAGCAATCCTGATAAAGAAGAACAAAATTGGAGGGATCACAATACCAGATTTCAAGCTATTTTACAAAGCCACAGTTCTCAAAACTGTCTCCTACTAGCACAAGAACTGTCATATACACCAGTCAACAAAACAACAAGAAAGCCCACTGCATGGGAGAATATATTTGCTAATGCTATTTCATATAAGGTTATAATCTCTAAAATTTATATGGAACTCATACAACAAAAGGAAGATAAACAATCCAATAAAAAAATGGGCAAAGGACCTCTTTAGACACTTTTTGAAAGAGAACATACAGAAGGCCGAGAGACATATGAAAGCATGCTCAAAGTCACTAATCATCTGAGAGATTCAAATCAAAACAACAATGAGTTACCATCTCACACCTGTCAGAATGGCTATCCTCAACAAATCAACAAATGACAAGTGCTGGTGAGGATGTGGAGGAAAAAGAACCCTCCTTCACTGCTGGTAGGAATGCAGACTGGTGCAGCCACTGTGGAGAACAGTTTGGCGTTGCCTCAGAAATTTAAAAATGGAACTCCCATTTGACCCGGTAATCCCACTTCTAGGAATATATCCCAAGAAAACAGAAACACCAATCAGAAAGTATATATGCACCCCTATGTTCATAGCATCATAATTTATCATAGCTAAGATTTAGAATCAGCCTAAGTGCCCATCAGCAGATGAGTAGATTAAAAAAGTGTGGTACATTTACACAATGCGATACTATGCTGCCATACAAGAGAAGGAATCCTTTTACCATTTGCAACAGCATGGATGGACCTGGAGAGCATTGTGCTAAGTGAAATAAGCCTGTTGGAGAAAGATAAATATCACATGATCTCACTCATATGTGTGATAAAATGATCAACATAAACTGATGAACAAAAATAGATCCAAAGACAAGGTGGCATGGACAGATTGTTCAACCTCAGGAGGAAGGCAGGGGAGAGGGGGTAGAGATCAACCAAATGACTTGTATGCATGTATATTAGCATAACCAATGGACACAGATGCTGGGGCGGTGGGGGCTTGCGCTCAGGGGTGGGAGTCGGTGGGGGGGTCAATCAGGAGGAAAAAGGAGACACATGTAATACTTTAAACAATAAAAAAAAGAAAAGATAAGAAATCACATTTAGTAAAAATGTAACTACTGACACAATGGGGGGATGGAAGGAGCACAAAATGTGAAACCAAAATAGAGCCACAACGGCTTCAGATATAGATCTGTTAAATATGAAAATAAAAACACTGAACTTGAAAATATTTGCAATAGGAACTATAAAATTGAGAAGATGATTGAAGAAACAACCAGCATAACTACTAGAAAATTAACTAAAAGCATAATTAAAATTAAAACTTGAGTTGTAAGTGCTGAATGGTTTAAATTATCTTCTCACACATAATTAAAAATCTGGTCACAAAAATTTAAGTCCCATTTGATGAAACTGGAGAGTAGCCACAGAGAGGCAGCAAATGGAGATAAATATACCTCTGACATAATAAATCAGGCAGGTAAGATTTACAGCACTGTGATTTTTGCTTGAGGATGCAGGATATGAGAAGCCACTGACATATTGGTTTGAGGTGTCAGGGAATGTATTTTAAGGCATTCAGAGCAGTGAGAAAGTCTGGGGAAATCCTTGAAGAAAATGAGCTATAAA